TTGGGGATAATTTTACACTCTTGCCTTTATTATATTTGTATTCCTGTTGAAGGGGGACCCCACCTGGCATCCGTTTTAACCGATACCTCTTTTCATCCGTAATGTGCCACTGTGAAACACGACAGTTATTCCTGGCACACCATCAACTGTCTGCTGGCTTTGGATGCATGTAAACTTCATGCACTCCAGATTCTACATTTGTAGCTAAATCAAGATGTTAATTTAAAATCATTTGTCTAAAATTGGGATCTTTGTCAAAAATTTAGCTTTCTGAAGTGAAACTTGTCCGAATAGTAACAGCTCCCACCTCCAAGAGCATTCTGGATACGTTTCCCAGCATTCACATTTCTGAACACAAATTAAGTGTTGTATCAAACTTTCAGCTGATTGAAGATTTCCTTACCTTTTGTACAGTAAATGTGCGTATGACATACTCTGCCAATGGTTCTGTCTCGATTAATGTGACTTTAATATCTCCATAGACCTCTGTGTCATCTGGCCAGTATCGAACACACTTCACCTGGGGTAAAACCAGAAAGTATTGAGAGGAACTAGTTTAAGATGAGTCACAGCTGGCCTACATTTTACTCCACTTTCAAGCTGAAGCTAATGCAAATTGGGCTTTCATCTGATGTACAGACCTTGTAAAAATTAACTGTATAAATTAGATCAAAATCCCTTTACCATATATAGAAACCACAGGAAGGATTTTTTACAGTTTCCTCTGTTGTGAATCCAATTTAAAAGCATGAATTTAGCCATTCGTCTTCAAGATAGTCTTCCTAAAATTTCCATACATGCCCTGACCATATATCAGGTTTACAGAATACCTGGCAGTCACTACCACCATCCTTTTTTGAGAAAAATCTATGGTCTTGCTATTGCTACTGTCATTCTGAACTCCCTCTGTTTCGCCAAAGAATTTCAGTTCATAGAGATTGTGAGATACTTGTTGATACATTAAATTTCTTTGACTCTAAGCTTTCCTTATCAGATTTGGACACAAATTTGACATTTTACCAGCTGTGACAGGTCTCAGCTAAGGCTCAAAAACGAAAGCTCCTGATCTTGTAAACATATCCCAGGCTTAGCCACTTCTAGAAACCATGTGCAAAACTAATAGTAGAAATTAAAGCCAAGGCTGTGAAGCTTTAGAAGGAATATTTAGGCTAACAAAGACTATCAAGTTATTAAATGCTACAGCATGAAAGAGTGGAACAGCACCTAAAAGCTGAAGCAATTAGCTACTGCGTTCATGTTCCAGTTCCAGTCATAATCAGAAGGGGGTTTGTAAATATTAAGTATGATTAATGTAGGTTTGTTGGGTTTTTTTTACACAGAGGCATTTATTTCAAACTGAAGTGTCAGTAGAAAGTAAAATAGAATAAATAACAATAAATGAACAGAACCAGCTGGCATTCAACCATGAGATCTAAAGGAAATCAAATACAAAGCAGCTGAATGGCTGTCAGTAAATGTGGTGGGCTGACCCTGTCTGGGGCCAGGTACCCCCCCAAGCTACTCCATCACTCCCCTCCCTCAGCTGGGCAGGGGAGAGAAAATACAATGAAAAACTTGTGGGTCGAGATAAGAAACAGGGAGAGATCATTCACCAGTGACTGTCATGGCAAAACAGACTCACCCGGGAGAAAATTCATCAGAGTAAAAAGAGAATTTAAACCAAATCTTAACACACCTTCACCCCACCCCTCCCTTCTTCCCTGGCTCAGGGGTGCAGGGGGTTGGTGAATGATGGTTGGGGCCAGTCCCTCACACGCTGTCTCTGCTGCTCAGGGGAGGATCCTCACACTCTGTCCCTATTCCAGCCTGGGGTCCCTCCCATGGGAGACAGTCCTCTACCAACTTCTCACGGTTGAGTCCTTCCCAGGGGCTGCAGTTCCTCACAAACTGCTCCAGTGGGTCCCTCCCAGGGGTGCCATCCTTCAGGAGCAGCTGCTCCAGCCTGGGTGCCCTTGGGGTCACAAGTTCTGCCAGCGAACCTGCTCCAGCCTGGGCTCCTCTCCCCACAGGGCCACAGCTCCTACCAGAAGCCTGCTCCAGCGTGGGGTCCTCCATGGGCTTCAGGTGGGTCTCTGCTCTGCTGTGACCCTCCATGGCTGCAGGTCACAGCTGGCCTCGCCATAGGCTGCATCACGGGCTGCCAGGGAACCCCCACTTTGGAGTCTGGAGCACCTCCTCTCCTCCTTCCCACTGACCTGGGGGGCTGCAGAGCTATTTTTCTCACATTTCACTCCCTCTTCAGCTGTATTTGCTCTTCCTAGTTTGTTGGGTTTTTTTCCCCTTCCTTAACCATGTTATCCCAGAGATGCTACGACTGTTGCTGATGGGCTCGACCTTGGCAGGTCTGTCTCAGAGCCAGCTGGCATTGGCTCTGTGAGACACAGGGCAGGCTTCCAGCAGCTTCTCACAGAAGCCACCCCTGTAGTCTCCCCACTATCAAAACTTTGCCATATAAACCCAATACTGTAAACGATCATTTAAATTTTTCCTAGTACCAAAGCAATGGAAGGTGACAAACATCACAATAAAAATGTAAGAGTTCCAGTTTCTGGCTGAGAACGTCTCTTTACCAAAGACCGCCAGGACTGGGTAGAATATGCTGGGGAAAGCCACCCCAGACATGCCTTTTTCTTATTCCCTGAAGTCTAGCCTATGTGTTTTGAGTTATTCACATTTGCTCCCATCATGTGCTTTGGCAATTGCCTTGTGCTGACACAGGGACTTCTGCTTCATCTGAGTCCAAGAGAGTGAAGCAGCGGGTGTTGAGGAGGCCAACGCTGCTGGGTGGCCCCAGGATCCGATCCAGCTGTGCACAATCTCATACCAACATGGAATAGTGACCTTCTGAAGTGATTGGAAACCCTAGGCTTTGAACCGTCATTTAAAGATCTCTTTTGATAGTCTGAACACCAGGTGAACTTCCTTGCCCCTCCAGACTCTTTGTGGGTAGAGAAGTATTCAAATTATGTAGAAAAAGAATAATTATTGCAGAAGTACATTTTTCCTTCTGTACTGAAAAAGAAGACAGCTTCTTAGCTAGCATAAATTTGTGTAACTCTGCTAAAGCCAAGACTTACACTAGGAACATGATCCTTATTAGTCTAGAAGGCAAGCAGCTAAGTATTACAAAATCTAGCATTTTAAAGAAAAACCCAGAGTGGCTTAATTAATTCCCTTACTACAGGAAGCAAAAGGCGTTTCACTTGCTGAGCTTGCCTGAAGAGCTGCACCATGTTTACCCAATGCTGGTTTGGCTATATATGTTGGGAAAGTTGTGCCCTTACCCTGCCCACTTCCACCAAGTTGGTGACCATGACAACACTTGCAGAGTTTTCTTGCCAAATCATTCTCCAGAAATCCTTCACGGTCTCTTGCATCGGCCCTGGGGCAGGAGAAAAGACGAAAGGACATCTTAAGAGAGTGAGTCAAATGCCAACAACTCTTTGCAGCTGTTCCCCAGCCACCACCCTGTTCCCACAGGACCTACTCTCACTTTCAGAGCATCCCTCTGCAATTCAGGGTTATGGACACAGAACAGCCTGGAGCTCTTTCTGAGATCAGACAGTTCCTTGCAGCAGGTATTTAAGGTTCTGGCATGCTGGAAACAGGTGATGGCTGTGTTGTACATACTGGAGATGCTTCCAGTACGTAACCACGTGTAAGCGATGGGACATGCATGCACCCTACAGTAAGACTGTAATTGAAGCCATATTGAACTTTCTACTTGATACAGCACTAAAATTCTTCAATTTCACACTTCATAATTAATACTTTTAAAGTAGGAAAGAAATAAGCAGAAATTATCCCTTTTCGGAAGCTCTCCAAGGGAGAAAAATTTCAGTTTCCAACAGACAGCCAGTACTCACTAGAGGTTTACTAGACTAGAGACTCCCTCTTTTACACTGCAGATTAAATCCTCCCACGGACTCCTTTCACCCCCTCTGCCCATATTCCATCCTCCATGTTCTCTGCCTTGCTGCATTCCCTCTACCAGATATGCTCAAATGCCAGGTTTATTCTAACAATTTTTTTTTTACTCTTTCAATATGGACAAGCCAGCAAGGAAGTCATAAAGCAGAATTTAAGAATATTTTCTATGCACGTCACATTTGCAGGTAAAGGAATGCACAAAAATTAGGACAAATAAGATGGCATAAGGGTTTAGCCAGTGATGCAGGAAAACAGCAACTTATATAAAGAACAGGTGTAGGGAGGTTTGTCGTCTAACATGGATAGCCCTCAGCATTGAATTGCGTTAGGTTTTTTTTTTTCTTTTTATCTCTAAAGGCATAGGAAATTCATCAACTAACTTATAAAAGGTGGTATTTAAATACATTTCCTACTAGTTCCCACTAACCAAAAGTTCATCAGTCACAGGCTTATTCATACTACTATCCCCAAACAATTTCACTCTAGAAGGTAAACTCAAGCTCTGTAAAGTCCCTTTTAGTTCTAATCTCATACTTCATGCACAAAGGACACATTATAGACTGTACTGCCACCTCTAAGTCTGTACTATTCTTTATTCCTGTAGCTGAGATTTTGTGTTTGAGTGCCGTGAAGATCTTGAATATTTGTGCCCCTATACCAACTTCTCAGAACAGAAGATAACTCCCTACAAATAGCTCTTAAAACAGTTTAAACCAGCAGTGGTTTTACAAATATTTAGACATACAAGAGTGAACTTGCCTTGAGTTGCGATGTAATGGCGAGGCCGGTGGTACCCCTGGAAAAAAAAGGAAAATTGATGGTCAAACACAAAGCACAACAGGATGTATTTTATACCTTCCAGGTACCAACAACTGCTGCACAGAGGGGTTGGAACTGGATGATCTTTAAGGTGCCTTCCAACCCAAACAATTCTGTGATTCTATGATTTAACAGTGCACTAACACCGGAAATCGAATGAGTGAAGATAAGCAACCAGATTGCCCTATGAAGTTTTTAAGTGATGGTATCTCACTCAGGCTGAATGATAAGATATCACAATGCCAAAGATAAAACAGGAATGGGGAGTTTTCACTAATTCCTTGAAGAAACACAAGTCCTGTGACTAACCTGTGGGCAACTCTAAACAGTAACAGGCAAAAAGTTGCACCTTCTTGCTTGAAAAGAAGCAAAGTGTGCCTTTGCTGCTGTATGAAAATGCTGCATATCTGTCTTCTCTAACTTTATTAGGCATATGTTTCATCCCTTAAAGAAACTCTTCTGAACGTTGTCATGTTCCTAAGATTTAGGCGATGCATATAAGAAATGCATGTTCATTTGACCACTCTGTGTGTGCGAGGGAGGCTGCTTCTCGAATGTTTTCTTATAACGCTAAAAAAAGTCTATTTATATGCCTTCTGCACTGCAATTTTGTAAGAAGTCGATAAGTCTCAGATATCCGTTAATGCTGTTGTGAGGGGCTGCTATTGATTTCTGCATATATCATTTAGCCCACATTCCACTTATGTCTGCGGATCTGTCAAACGTAGGAAATCTCCATCTGTCCAGATTGGCCAGACAGAATAAAGCGGAGACCGAGAACCTTCTCCCTGTCACAACACGATGTTTGTATAGTATTCAGCTGTCATTCATAGTGGATCAACAGTCTGTCCCTATGTAGGATGCACCAAATTCCTAAGCAGCCTTGTCAGCAGGAGTGTTTGTCACAGTCGGAATGTCCAGGAGCCTTACGTCTATGTAATTGGCGTTTATGTAGTCGGAGTGAGGGTCCCCGTCCAGCAGCTGCAATCTCACTCTTGAATGATCATCTGAAAGAAGGAAAGAAAAAAAAGTGACAGTAACGATAAAGAGGAGTTTGTAAGGGCTTCACTTTGTCTGCCGATTCCTGCAAGTGGGTAGTTGAATACTTACAATAACAAAAAATGAAAGAATAACAGAGATATTCCTGTTCCTACAAGCCCTTTTGTCTTTAAGATGTAATGTTTAGATCCTTTTGTTAGTGTTCACCCATATTCTGTGTTCATTAAATCCACTGCTGTCACCATAACCGTTATTGAGCTTTCACACCGACCACGAACGTTGCTTGGATTGGGGGTCTTGGGACAGATCTTTGCAGGATGTATCTCCACGGCAAGAGCCATCTTCATGCTTGGAAATAACAGCCTCCCTGGCTTCATCTCATCTATGGAAACTGAGGCAAGAGCTAAAACTGTCAAGATCAGGATAAAAATAAATAGGTCATGACAGTGGTAGAAAAGATTAAGAAGGGTAAAATGGCAAATGGAATCCTGCAAGGAGCAAACGGGAGGCCCAGAAGCTGAAAGGAAATACTACAGGAAATCAGAGCAATGTTCTTTTGTACAACCCACAGAACTCACTGCAGCTAAACGGCATCGGGGCAAAGTGCTAAGCAGTGTTAAAAAAAAAATTAAAAACATTCATGTTTTTGAGGACATTCAAAGTTACTTTAGATAAGGCAATAAAATAACATATATCAATCTTTTCATCTCCCAGCATGCTCTACAGTTCAGAAACAGAAAGGAACTACCCCAGCAGGCAGATTATGTCATGATTTTCCACCAAGGGAATATTTTGATCTTTCTCTGGAACAGCTGGTGCTGGGATCTGTCAAAGGAGATACTCGGCGAGCTGGGCTGTTGCGCTGATTTGATCTGGCAATCCCTGCGTTGGTATGCAATTAATTGCAGAACTGCTATCTAAGGGCCAGTTGCAGAGGTCACTGCTGGCCATGCTGGGCTCATTTTAAAAGGCCTTTTTAAAAAGAAGTATAATATAGAGTCCATTAAGTTTATTTCCTCTCTACCAGCTCTGTGGACCCCAGCTCTCAGGCAGTAAAGCATTAATGTTTAGAAGCACTTTGCAAAATACGGGCCCAAGCGTGATTTACATTCAATTAAAAAGAATCATAGCAATGAAACATAAATATACGAGGTGTGATTCTGCAGTAACTCAGTCAAAAAGGGTTTTAGTCATCACTTAATTAAACATAGAAACAGATAATAATTGTGAAGACAGATGTGCATGCAGTTATGAAAAACCAAGGTTTGGATATATATTAAATATTAATTCAGTTATATCAAGCAATGATTCTCATACTCAGTTCATTCTTTGGGTGAGATTTTCACATCCAAAAAAACTATCCACAGTGCTATCAAATCCCATATTTGCATTCAAAAAAGGTGACGCAGGTGAATCCATCAAACGCTCTGTTATATTTGTATTACTAAATATCACCCTTGTAGGCGCAGTGGAAGGAGGTATATTTCTCAAAGTGCTGACGTTGTTCCCAACTCTAGACAATTACCTGTGCTCAAGGCAACTGCGCTAGGAGTTGCAGTAAATCATGTGGTTAGACAGACAACAAAAGAATTTATACTTAGAGCAATTCTCAAAGGCAGACAAAGAGCTGATTAAACCGGACATCTTGATGAAATACACAAAATCTCCCGTAGACAATTTCACACTTGCAATTCAAGGCAAAACTAAGCTAGTTAAGAATCACACAGAACAAAAGCACAGAAAAAAATACTCCTGGAGCTAATGGTTGGGAGGGGAACCTCTACTAATCCTCCTGTGATGCCACAATACAACAACATTCTGAAAGTCTTAACTTACTGCAACAATAGAACTAGAAAGCGATGAGACCAAAAATGACCCTAATGGCAGGTGAAAAGTCTCAGGTTGACCATCTACACGAGGTGTGTAGCTGAAGTGCTCTGAATAGCCCTCAAGGAAGAACCTGCCTCTCTTCATTTAATAGAACCAAACGCAAAAAATTAAATTTCAGCTCTTTAGTTAAAAACTTAACGGACAGGATGAATACCTCCTGGGGGAGCTGGCTGTGAAAGACCCGAGAAGGAGACTGCAGGAGAGTCTATGCATTAAGACAATTACAGATAAAGATGTTCCGTAGCTACAAAAAGTGTTGTTGTTTTTTTTCCCTTTGAGCCCAGTTTGGTTATTCTATCTGTGAAGAACAGTAAAGGATGAAGAAATAACCACTGGAAACAAAATATTTTTTAAAAAGGACACATTCAGGTTTAGGTCCAATTATGTCTTGGGACAAAATGAAAAATACTTTCATCTGAACTTTGCTTTGGGAGGAGAGAATTCACAATATTTCATTGCATATTTCACAGAAATTAGATTAATTCCTGCGGGTGATTTATTTCTCTTATGAATGTGAACAGTGCAGCAGAAAAAATCTGTGTATATGGTAAGCACAGAAAATATTAATGATGTCTTAATGGTGTCTTTAATCTTGTTCATAAGTTTAGGAGCACAGTCTGGATAAAAGCTCATGAAATAGCTTACCTTGTAAATCCCTTTTTTCCTTAAAACTTTTGAATTTATTTGGTGTTCTGGTGTTTTTGGTTGTTTTTTTTTTTTCTTAATGGAGAAGACCAAAACCCAATGCAACTTACTACGCTATTAACAGCAGTGATTTGTACTTAGATTTTTATCATCTATAGATTTGAAAGAACTTCTTAAAGAACAGCAAATATTCACTTTATTTTCTAGCAATGCTCAGAATTTATTTCTGATTCTGCATCCTTTCTACTAGACTACACTAGCCAAGGAGACTACGTATTTGGCACACTAAAATGAAAGCATCGTTCAACTCTTCTGTAAATTTATCAGACATCATACCAACATGTGCTACAAATGGATTATAAGAACTTTAAAAATAGAGAGAGAAAAGAAGAAAAATTGCATGTCTGTAACATTCACTACTGCAAAAAATGGAAACATACTTTAATAAAAGTATAAATGATTTTATTTCTCCCTGTTTACTATGGTCCATATGCAAGTTAGCAGAACTGTAAATTTTTATGAAGAGTACTTTGACTGAAAATTGGTCTTAAAACGGATTTCAAAAATGACAAGAATTTCACTGAAAAGCATTGTGCTTCTATTTTAGCACAAAAATGTTATCGTTTCAAACTTCTGTCAAAATTCCCATTAGCGATCATTTGAAATATCATTGCAATTTTTCCACATCTCATTTTGACACCAGCACTGGATTCATCTCACACAACTTTCGCCACCTAAATATTATGCAGCTAGTCTAAACTGGCTGTCAAGGCTCCCCACATGCCCGACGGAGAAACACAGACACCTTTTGAAGTGACTCAACCCAGTTTTGGGAGGAGAGGACCACTTGCCTCCCAAGGCACACTGCTCTCCCCTTTCTATCCCCTCTGGTCCTCAGCTGTGCCTTGAGAACTGGGGAGCAGCAAGGTGTGACTTCCCACCTTCTCAGGATCATGTAATATGGAAATCGCACACGCAATTGAGATTTTAGGCACTAATGCAATAAAAATACTTGGAAAAGACTCCCATTCTAAATCCAACAGTGACATGTGGGTTATTTTTACTTTATGGATTATCCCTGTCCGTGGCCAAGAAGCACACTCCACCTGCGTTCCAGCTGCCACCTCTGTTAATCTCCCCCTGTTCTTTGTCACAGAATCATAGAATCATAGAATGGTTTGGGTTGGAAGGGACCTTAAAGATCATCTAGTTCCACCCCCCCTGCCATGGGCAGGGACACCTTCCACTAGACCAGGTTGCTCCAAGCCTCATCCAGCCTGGCCTTGGACACTTCCAGGGATGGGGCATCCACAGCTTCTCTGGGCAACCTGTTCCAGTGCCTCACCAATCTCTCTGTGAAGAATTTCTTCCTGATATCTAATCTAAACCTCCCTGATTTCAATTTATACCCATTACCCCTTGTCCTGTCACTACAGGCTCTTGTAAAAAGTCCTCTCCCAGCACCCTTGTAGCCCCTTCAGATACTGGAAAGCTGCAATGAGGTCTCCTCGGAGCCTCCTCTTCTCCAGGCTGAACAAGCCCAACTCTCCCAGCCTTTCATCACAGCAGAGGTGCTCCAGCCCTCTGAGCATCTTCGTGGCCTCCTCTGGACTCGCTCCAAGTGGTCAATATCCTTGTCTCTTCTACCACAAAATTCTCTGATTGATTCAGTCTTCCAGCTCAAAGCATATGGCAGTCAGAGCATGAAGGAAATGAAGCAAATTACTGTCTTTTGTCATCAACTCGATAGTTTTCAATGGACCATCGCAAGACTTTAAAACCATGGTGCCTAAGCGGGAAGATGCTCCACTGTGGGTGGGACAATGTGTCTTAAAGCAGCACCAGTACAAGCACCCCTGAGAGTGCTGACCTCCTCCTGTAATATCATGCCCACTAAAAGGAAAAATAGAGAGGACTCCCCTGTAAGCTGGAGCAAAACACAATCCTGCGTTTTTATTTCCTCAATATCTAGACCCCAACAAGAATTTAAATCATTTCGCTTCAGCACATAAATGGATCCACTACCTACCCTTCCGCCCTGCAGCAAAATCTTGCACCTCCACAACCGTCTGTGTGTTTGCAGCTTTTGTACCCCAAGTGCAGGAGCAAAACCCATGAACCCTGCTGATGTAACAGCAAGTTCAAGCAGGGCAGGTCCCTCCAGCATGGCCAACCTGTGCGATTAAGCACATCTCACCACCATCAACAGGGGATTTCTGTGGTCATACAGACCCCAGATCCACTCTCAGCTTTTCCCTTTCTCCAAAAACTATACCAGCGTTGTAGATTGAAGGGAACCCTGAAAAGCTAGGGTTTAAACCATGGGACAGCTTAGAGTTCTCCTGCATCTCCGCTCCGTGAACTGATAGCCTCATCTGCAGTTTTGTTTTGCAAATGTAAGAACAGCAGATGTTGGGGCTGGCAGCAAACTCTAGGTTTTCATAGAGAGGCACGTTGTTAATGCTGCCCTGGGAAAGCAGTGAGCCGAGTAAAACAGTCCTGTAAGTGTACTATTACCCAGAAGGCCATAAAGACAAGATCTAATCTGCTGTGATTCACTGAGCAATGCTACTTACTGCAAGAGCTTACAAACCCACATTTTAACAAAAGTCTCTGAAGCAGTTACAAAAGTTAAATCAAATTTTTCAATTCACTCCCCAAAAAGCATGTGATACCATGTTCCAGGAGTGATGAAATGACAACTGTGGTTAAATAAATAATGTTAATTGCCATCCGGCAGCCTTTTACCAAACAAACTAGTAAGAGTAATCAGCGCATATTCTGCATTTTACCAGCAATTACAATTCTAGCACAACAAAGCAGCTAAAGGTGCAATTGTTTTCCACCTCCCCTCCTCTGCTCAGGCTCTTGCACAGTTTGTACCCACTGAGCAGGACTTGTTTTCATGATCTGCCCAGAGGGAACTACTCTCCTGCTATTCCCAGCTCTGCCATCAATTCTTCATTCTGGATCCTGTCATGGCTTTTCCTCAGGAAAGTTGCCCGATGTCACCATCGGGAGGGTCTGGCTCAAGGCTTAGCCAGTGACACCACTGATAATTTCCCACTGGTTTTACAAAAGGTCTGAGGAATAGTATGCCCCTTCCTTAGGCATCCTCCTGCCCTCCTCTCCAGCCTCTTCAAAGCGAAGCAAAGATTTCACTCCATTTTACTGTGTCACTCTTCACTGCATGTCACTTAATTCTCCTTGCTGTCCTTTCAGAGCTTTTGTCTCCTCAAACTCTTCATTTCATACATATTTGAGGCAAAGAAAACCCACTTAGCTTTGCTATTTACCTCTAACTCTTCTGCATCCCTCCCCCTTTTCACTACCCTGCCTTCCTTATCTACGCCTTTCCACCCTCACAACCTCAGTCTGAAACCTTTCCCAGCAGCCCTCAAACTCGAGCTTCTTCTCTGATGTTTTATACTGTGCAGACACCTCTTCCTTGGCTTTGATTACATTTTGCATTTCCTTACTCAAGCACATCACCTCCTATCTGCATTGCCACCATAATTATATTTATAGCTAAAAGGATAACATCACTCTTCGTTAGACAACAATTCATCCTTCTGAACACCTTCCCTTTACATAATACCCCGTTTATCTTCCTTGATTTTGCTTCCTTAATTTCTTCTCACATTTCACTTGGAGTTCCATGTTTTCTTTGTGACCACCTTCAACATAAATCAGATAGTGACTATTGCACAGTCTTCTCTCCTCTTACCTCCACTTTGAAATTATGTCAATCATAATCTTCCTCAAAATCATACAGAGAAACAGTCTCTTTCATGTTTCCTTCCTTATGTCATACTGTGGCACTCCCATTGCTGGACTCATACCTGGACGATTCATCTGTCTAATTTAATCTAAGCTAATCACATAAAACGTGTCAATTGAACCCCTGCCTGGAGGTATCTCTCCTTGTCGCTAGGAGCACAGGAAACTTAGAGTGAGGTGGAGCTTTTAGGCAGCTGAAGTTAAGGGGTCGGATTTTCCTGCTGGGTGTAATACTCCAGTACAACCACTTCCGTTTTCCCCATAGAGAAATGGACTGATGGAACTGGTGACCTGCTCACAACCGACGCAGAAACCCACTTGCAAATGTCAGACCTGATCATGGCTCACAAACTCCTGATGTTCATTTCCAGATTTCCTCAACCCTTCCCATGGGGCCCTGAACTGAGCTGTTCCGAGCCATTCCCCAAGAACTGTTCCATTAATAATTTCTTTCAATCCATAAAAGAGAGGAGTAGTTAAGATATGTGCGAGACAAACTGTCTTTTACTTCTTTAATGAAGTCTGATTGTTCTAGAAGAAGCACATAGTTAACTTGAGAGAAAAATAAAGTACTAAATATATGACTCAGCATCATTTAATTTTGCTCTTATGGCATTCCATAGATTTATCCAGTCAAGAAAATCTATGGCACATTCATTTATATTTTTACCTATTGTTCTGATGCTTCTCAGGTCTGTCTTCTCCAACTTGATGCTTAAAAATAATTACTTCTTGTACCTCCTCTTCCCAGTCATTATAAGGAATAATGAAACACTGGGATAAGCTGCCTAGAGAACTTGTGGAAAGCTCAACTTTGGAGACCAGAAGGAATAAGATTTGCAAATATCTGATTAAAATGACAGAGGTGAATCTAGTTCTGAGTTGATGAATAAAGCTGACCTACACATAAATGAAGGATTTATGGAGTCCTTCATCACCCTGCAGTTCCACGATGTATCAATATTCCTATTACCTCAACAGTTAATAACTGGTTATTGAAAGAAGTAAAACTAAGAAGCTTCAGTGCATTTTCAGCTGCCTTATTGTGATTCTGAGGCAGAAGCTAAGCTTGTCCCACATATCAAACCAGCTCTCTGGGGACAAGCAGCGACTGCTCCACTGGTTGCTGACCACAAGGAAGGAGAAAATCTGATCTCTGATCTGTATCTAAAAATCTGACATATCTGCATCTCCTTTTGTGCTCCCATTCGTGGCACAGAAAGCTTTGGGTTATGTATGTAAAAATGGATGGAAAATGGGCATCATCACCCACTGCGAAAATTTCACACTTAAATTACAAACATTAAGCACAAAGCAAGGTAAAGAGAAAATGTGTAAAAAACCATAAAGTCATGAAATTATTTTATGTAAAACAATAAAAAAAACTAAAATAAAATTTAAAAAAAACCCAAACAAACATAGAAACAGCCTGTAACAAACAGACTGAACTACTGAATGCTCAGCACTGTAAACCAGCTTTCAGTGAGATTCTCAAAAACACCCTTTTCCAGAGGACGCTTATAAAATCTTACAGAAAGTTCAGTTTAATGCGAATTTACACCTACAGGAGATTATGTTTCCATATCTATTCTTATTGCGGTTTTCGTCTTCCTTGGCTGTATCCCAGGATGCCGTCTGCCCCTCAGGTAGTGCCTGCAAAATAAACAATAGCGGGGTGTTTATAAAAATCTGGCCAATGCCTTCAGGTGGATTAAGATGACTGAGCAGGACAAAAATAAAGACACTGCATAATTCAGTAGTCAACCAAGCAAACAGCTGTTCCTGAGGAAAGGGCACATCCACTAATGCAAAAAGCAGAGCTTGGTGCAGACTATTTGCATCTCTTGGCTTCTGCCAGAAAAGAACCATTTTCCTCCTGCTACTTCAGATCTAAAAGGATCAGGGGAATTTGTTTCTGGCTGTAGAGTGACAGGTTAACCTCATTTCCCCTGAAGAACAGGGTTTGTGGAAATTTCACATTTATACACTTCTAAGAAAAACCCAGAGAGCTGGAACATAGTCTTCAATCTTTAATATTAAAGTTGTGAACAGATACAGCATTTCACCTGTTTCTGTATTAATAATGAGGTGATGCAATACAATCCACTAGCTGGTTTTCTTGAAGGGAAAATAAAACAGCTCAGTTTTAGATCATGTCTAAGGAAGCGAGGTAAAAGGAGGTAAAACATGCTCCCAGAAACAATGAAAATAAATAGTAATTTTCCTAAAATCTGGTCTTTCAGTTGAGAAAGGATGGAATAAGGAAAGTGGCAGCACACACTGCTACCCCACCCTATAGCTTGGTCCTATGGCTATTCTGAACACACTTAAATGAACCACTTTCCCCTTGAGACAGGACCTGGAAGGATTTTCAAGGCAAAGCCAGGGAAATGGCAGTTCTCACGGGATCTGGCCGAAGGATGGTCTTGCCTTCCTTGGAAGCTGGCCTGGACTGCCTGTAAGCGGGACGACACCTCTGCCCACCCCAGAGCGGGCAGGGATGTCAGCCCAGGCAGATCACGGCAGCAGGCACAGCATTGCTTTCTGCTGGGACAGGAATGTACCAGCTCCCTGCGGATCGCCAGCACCCCAACTGGACGGAAAGCCAGGATCTGCAACGGCTGCAGCCAGCCCAGCCTCGCCTTGTGCCGAAAACAGGCGAGGAGAGCTGCTCCTGCTGCATTTCCTCTCCGGATCCGCCTCCTCCAAGCTCAGCTCCCAGACATGATCCTACACTACTAAAAACAACAGCAACATTACAAATTGTATTATTTATGGTCCCCAGGGAATTACGGGGCTTTTATATCGCAATCATTACAGAATCGTATCCGCCTTAGCTAGCACGGGGCAGTTTGACACAGCTGTGCTAGAAAATGAATTTATATTCATCTTCACAAGCCACCCAGGTCTATTACAGTGCCTGAATGCAATAGCAGAGAGACACAATTATTAGGATCTACAACACTGACATTACAATTAAACTTAATATGAGCAAACCCCTGGCAGACCAGATCGCTGCGAATTTCTCCCCAAGGGGTTCCAGGACAGAAAATGTCAGGCACGGCAGCACTGCCAGGAGCATCGCTGACAAAAGACAGGGACAGTGAGTTCCTATTCAAAAGCCCAGGAGAAAGAGTAATAACTCTGTAATTGGTGAGGGCTTTGATCACACATATATTTCCTTTACAGACAGCTGTTTCCAAATAGCAGCTGTCTCCTGAGCAAAGAAAACCCCAGCCAACAAACCCACACACAACAAAAAAAATCCCCAGTAAAAGAAAAGAGGTGAGGAAGGTTCATTTTCATCTTCAAAGACTGAAGAAAAAGGTGCCTTATTTTTCCACTAATATCTAATTACAGCAGATTGACCAGAGAATGGCAACAGTCATTAGGCATCTAATCACAGCCATCTGAAAAGAAAAAGAGAAAAAAGAAAATCCTTTCTCATGACTTCAGGTGGGAGAAGGTATCTTGGCCAAAGAAAATACATTCAGGTCCAATAAATCCCTTTTCAACAAACCCTACCCTTTCATGTGATTCGAACATGAAATTCTCCATTGAAATTGATGTTTTTATATTTGCCCAACATAGCCTCCAAAGATTTAAGAGTCCAGGATTTGCCATCTCATTTAATACCAAAGAAATCTCTGCTTTTCACAGAACTCTCCATCTCTGCAGAGAGGAAGCACAGCTCTGGTTGGGGAGGAACACAAACTGCCTTTGCAGGGGTGGGTGTTAAACCCCTACTTTTACCACACCAGGTGACGCTGGAGTACCTGCATATACACGGATGGCACAGCACAAACCATTTGTCCGTGAAATCACTAAAAATGCAGCACATTGAAACTGCACTAGAAATACAATGGCAAAAATACCAGCTATAATTCAGTTGCATCCAGAAGAAGAGGAGCATACCTCATGTTTGGTTCTTTCAATTTTTGTTTGCACAATAAGTATCTCTGTCATAGCAAAAAGGGTTAAAGTCTCTGTTTCTCTCTGCATTACCAGCAATGGTAAATCAGGACAGATGACTTGGGCATTGGTATTTGATCCACATTTCACAGGAACCAATCCCCCTTCTTTCTTTGATTTAACAACTGTAAAATTTCAGTGTTCAAAAACCTGGACTTGATCTTCAGGTTTTTCTTCCTATTCTTCTTTTAGAGAAGTTTTGTAGAAATTCAACTGAAATATCTTCCCAGTAGTTGAATTTATGTTACAACGATGCTCTTAAAACTAAAGATCTTATTGATCTAATTTTTATCTGAAATTACAAGGACAGACCTCTAACAGTCAGCTTCATCTCAATCAAGCTTTCTAAGTAACATAGCCCAAACAAAACGAAAGTGTTCACAATAAATTGAGGCTTATCGCAAGCCTATTTAACTTTCCAATGGATGCATTTAGTTAGTTTGCTGTTTGTTTTTAATTTCAATATGAAAACTTGAATCATTCATTTGTATTGATCTCCTCCATTGCTGCAGTAGTGCTGCCAAAGGCAACAACATCAATTAAAAGCCTTGCTGCCCCTCTCAAAGCCTGCCCCAGAGCCCCGGCCCCCTCCTTCAGCCACTCCCTGCTCAACAGTGCTGACAAAACTGTTCCCACAGCTCTGCTGTGACCCAGGGTTAGAAACTGCTTTGGATTAAAAAAGTGACTTGAAAAACAGTATTTCATGTGGTTCAGTTCCCAATTCTGGCTCGTAGCAAAGCCTCAAGCCCACACTGTCCAAGGACAGCATCTACAGTACTGCCCTTCTGCCAAGCATTTCTGCAACATCACGTCACAGCCTGAACCACAGCATCTTGTCTTTTGACCAGGCAGAGATGTGCAGCCAGAGACAAAAGGGTTAAATCCAGAGGGGACTTCAGTAAGCTGAAGACTCTCAGTACTAAGATACTTGAGGAAGGAGCCATAAAATCCAAAGTAACTTAACAGCCTCAGTGTTGCAGCAGGCGAATGTACTTTAGTGACATCCTAAATCATAATGGAAAATGAGTTGGGATACTTAAGCTTATTATCTCCGTAGCCAGTAATTGGCGCTCACAGTAAGTCTGTGGGATGAGTCCCGCAGCTCACAACAAATCAGGGCTGATATGTTCAGGAAAAGGAATGGGTGACATTTAAACGTCTCCTGTTTAAATGTTTACGGTTATGCCTAATCCCAAATAGTGCTATCTCCATCCGGTGCCAGGGGTATAGTCTTCTCTTGTGGCTTACACGTTTTACTGCGAAACAGAAGCAGCAGACAAACAGGCCCAAGTCACGCTTTGGCCGCAGGTGCGGCAGGCAGACCCGAAATAACCCACGCAGGGCGAGCGCTGACAGATCCCCGCGTTCACACACGCAGTTAGCATCCACTTCGCACCAGCAGTGACACCACGTACACAACCACATCCTGCTTTCCATCTCAGTGGGGAGTTACAGGCAAGATGCAAGCAGCAGAAATATTTTTGTAGATGCCCTCAGTAAAACCTGGTGCCTGTGCACTGAGTCTGTAGGTAAAGGTATTAAACAAATGCCGACTGCAATTTCCAGGTTACTGAGTGAAGATGAGAATGTACAGGGATAAGAGATTATCATGTGTGACTGATACACTCCGTTCAAAGTGATTTTTCATGAGAATAAAATTATTTGGTAACATGCCACTAAATAGGCTGTAATTTATGCTATCAATTTACAAAGTAAGTAGAAAATCAGCTCCTTAGAAGAAAAAAACATATTTGGAGGCGACACTGTTATCAGTGTATGAAAACACATTTTAAAAGCGACATCAAATTCTTTTTTAAGATTTTATCAACCAATTCTGCACAGTGTTTTGCAAAGCCAGTTTGGCAGCTCTGCGTTCCTCCAGATTCCAGTCTGAGATACCTCTCTCAGCCAATTTACACCTCCTGCCTTCCAGGAGCTACAACACTCCCTGCCACCCTCCCCGCGCGTGGGGCATTGCTGGTGGTGGCGGAGAGCCGTTTGGAGCTGGAGCGCTGCCCACGTCCCATGCTCCAACAACTGAATCCCACCACAGAAAACGACTGCTACTTCGGCGATTACCTCGGACTGAAGGGTGGAACATGTGTGACTTGAGAGCTTGTGGCCTTCTCCAGGCTATTTCTTGTAAAGAAAGGAATTATGCAAATCTATATAATGTCACCGTCATTATATATGTATGTAGATAGCACTTTCTGGGAAAGGCAGAACTTGTGGAGCTGAAAGTTGCATTGACATTTTTCATGCTAATGTGTTATTTTGATAATTACCAATGCCAGTGCCAGAAAATTACATATATGCCAGCACCTGTTTTCTTCTTGAACATCAAGAACTAGCTCTTAGGGCATCTTTAATTGAGCTGAATGTAGTTTTGGGTACTATTCATGGAAATGGAGGCCAAGGGGGGGCTAAATAAATCTCCTAAGAGAAATACTACCCTTTTCAATATTAAACAGAGCTCTTTCTATTGATAGTTTAATTAGCATGCTTGATTGTGGGGCATGAGTGACTAGACCTGGTTAACATACAGTTATCAGAAACATTTGTTATGACAGTCTTTGATGCCATCTGATTAAAAAAAATACTCCCTAGTGACAACCAGGAAGAGATTGCCTCTCAATTACAGCAAAACCCAGCATCAATGCTACAAACCCCATGGACTCTTACTTGCAGGGTGGAAAAGTGAGCTGTTTTCATTAAGTAACTTATTTTTCACAGCTGTTATGTTATTTTTAAATAGTTTAAATGCCTCTATGCATATTAATTGCTTATTGCCTTCCCACAAGCTTACTACATTCATTATAATTATCGTTTGCTAGAGCAAAGTCTCACTTATGTTTGATGCTATTTCCCTGTTCTATTCACTCTCCTCTAAATGTATATTCCTTTTCCAACTCTTCCCAAGCGTCATGTTTCTTCCTGTCATTTGGATTACATTCCTGGTCATTCCAGCTTTGGGGGGGGAAGAGCTGGGGGCGCAGGAGGGCTGCTTTCATTTTTGCAGCTTACTCTCTGCTTCTCTCTTCACACGGAGTTGGAAGCGTAGATCAGCCGAACATATCCTGAGCCAGGGGTTTGAGCATACTGGAAAATTCCACCTCTGTTAAGCTACAGAAGGTTTCTGCCTTTGCCTTTACAATTCTGCATTCAGGTCATTATGCTGTGATTTAATTTGATCAATTGTTACAGGGTATTTGGAGCTCCCAAAAAGCTCAAGGAAAAGCCATCCCTTTCCTCCAAGCCTGGCTTGCACTACTGTAAACCGAAGCACCTAAGTAAGGGACTACGGGACCCCAGTCCTTCACTGAGTTCAGCACCTGTTAAATATTTACCATTGGCTCTTCATGGGAGAGAGGGCACATGATAAAAGATGAGCACAATGTCATTTTCTTACTGCTGTAGTAAACAGTTTTTCTTTGGACCAGAGTGCCACCAAAGACAGCAGTGCAGTAAAGCCCTGCCCTTGAAACAGAAAGAAGATGGAGAAAGGAAAGGTTCAAGAAGGTAAGTGAATTAAGGAAAAGAAGCTCTTAAAAACCATTATCCTCCCCTCCCAAGCATCCATCCTTTGCAAGTGCAACTTCTCTACTTATGCACGTGAGTGAAGGTTCCTCTCACCTCATACTCCTCTTTAAATCCATAGCCCTGTCCTCGTTTCATCTGGGTGATGTGCTGCAGCAGGTCGGCCACTCGGATGGCTGGCTGGAACTGCCCCCGGGGGTAGGACATTTCCACCGGCTCGCAGCTCCGGTACGGGTGGGTCTGGATAGTCAGGGTTGGCTGGGTCATCTCTCCATGGCTACTGTCTGTTTTAAAGACAGGGAGGCAAAACAAGCTTTCACCTACCCGGTATTTCCACTCTTATTCTTGCTGTTTGTTCATTTGTTGCTCCACCACCCCACAGGTTGGTGCAGGCAAAAGAAAGTAAAGAAAAAGTAGGAAACACACACTTGTCTACAACTGCCTAGAAGGACTAAATCACACTTGAATATATTTTGTGTCAAGGAGATAAACCCAAAGAAGTGGGAAACAGAGTAAAGAGCCACTCAGGCTAACGAGGATACAGCGCAGAGAGGAAACTGCACATTTTGTAAGGGTGAGCTCTGCAGAACGACTCCCATCCAATTACGCACCTTTCTTCGCAAACCTGCAGAGCACATGACTGAAAGATACATACAGATGAGCAAGATATTCAAGCGGGATTTGGGGTGTACAATACGAGATAACTGAAAGGGGCTTAAGCTCATAGCAAACAAATTATTAGAATTTCAAATAAGCCACACAGGATGTTAGAGGCAAATTAAACTGCTCTGCTAGTTCAGGCCTAAAATTTGTATGTCACCAACAAAGATGCAATTTTATGAGAAAGAATAAACAAACATAAAAATATAGCTATCTTGCATGCAGAAACTTAAATTTCAGCTATGTAAACTCAAGAGGAAAAAAAAAGACAGAGATGGATTAAAAAGATGTCTGTCACTACACAGATAGAAATATCACCCCCAGCACGACACATATACATAACGAAATATTCCTGGTGAACTAATAGAAAAGAGCTTAAACGACCAAACAACTGACAGTTCACAATAGTTATTTTTAACAATAGAAACTCAGATTAGATGAAAAATTTAGTTTCTTATGTACCAGAGTTGACCAAATTTAAATAGTTACCCAAATAAACCATTGTGTTTTCCCTAAGATTACAGGCATCTGAGATGCTTGGGTTCTTTTACACATACAGACCTTAAGAGTCTGCATCAATTCTTGCTGGTCTTACCCACACCCCAGCTATGACTAAAGAGCAAATACATCTCCCTGAGCTTGTTCACAGAAAAGCCCTTAAGACTGCCGACACAAGGCTTGTTTCTTACAGAAAGCTTACTGACAAAGAGCCTAAACACTATCCCTTGTCAGCAATGCTGCAGTCACGTTTTTGAAGGGATGAAGAATAAATAAATCCAATTGCAATTTCAGGGTGATTTTTGTGAAGCAGTAATGCGGGCGGAGTGTCATTGTCAACATTGCTATCCTTGAGAAATCGCCATGGAGTTTTGATGGCAGCAGGCTGGACCTGCTGCTGTCCCTCACTGCAGAGTGGGGCAGGAGCAGGCAGACGAGGCCATCGGGCACCTTCTCAGCAGCTGGCACACCAACGACATGACAAGACACCACAAATAATGCTGCAGCTGATTTACGGTTGTACCAGGCGGAAGACACCAAGACAGGCAGATGCTCTGGTCTGAAGTTGCAGGACTAGGAGAAGGAGAAAGGAACGGCAGCAGTGGACGCTGCTGCAGGGCAAGCTGATCTCCAGTGTGAGATAAATAAGCGTGGTGGCTGAATTATCAGAGATGCTGAACACATCCTGCTGCTTCTGAAATAAATTAGCACAAAGTGATCATCTGCTCTGAAGATTAGGCTACCGAATTTAAGGATTTCTGAATCCCAGGTTCTCATAAACACAGTCACATTCCCAGGATGCTCAGAGATTTACAGAGCTATGGCTCTAGCAAAGCAACTCTCAGATACAAAATGTGAATAAATTTGGGATTTAAGGAAGAGTAACATCCAAAGCATTTGTATAATCATCCCTAATGCTCTGACTAATGACAGTGTGAGAACTCTGAAAGAGGGAATTTCAAGGCTTATTAATTCCCCTAGTTGGATTCACTTTCCCAGTGCATCTTTCCTCCCCTATTCCCTATTAACCTCCTGTAATGGAGAGAAGATTTTTATCGCGGACCATTTCCAACAGACGTACTATGCTTAATTTTCCATCATTAGGTTTAATACAAACCCAATTTCACAACTGGCTTCTCTGAGGAACCTACAAGTAATGCCACATTTCTATCAGCCCCAATTAAAAAGCATTATGATATCCCTATCCGAGAGGGAGTCTTGAAACTAATGTGCAGTGCTGGTGCTAATACAGTAAGGGCACGTGCAGAGCACAGGCTACTTGTAAAATGTAGCCCAGATCACTCAGCTCCTTTGCAGGCAATTATTAATTTCTCTCTCCATCAGATGCTTTAATTCTGGTAGACTTGGCTCTCTTCTCAGAGACAAGTAACACGGAGAAATGAAAGACAGGAAAGCAGTGCCCCCTCTTTTCCAGAGTAGCTGCCTGTGTCATGACTCTGGACCTAAAAGAAACTGCTCAGCAGCAAGGAAGGATCTGACTCTGGCCTTTGAGTTAGGAGCGACAACTGTGCTTCTGGTCTCCCTGGTCAGACAGATAAGGAATGGTAGAAAACCCGTTGATGGCAGTAACAGCTCTCGCAGTACGCTCCGTGCATCCCACCCTGGTGTGCCTCTCACCCAGCCGTGTTTCTGCTGAAAAAAAAATGTCACAATCTGGGCCATCCTACTCTCAACCCAATGACACGCAGAGCTGTAACTAGGCAGAAGATCATCTCCTCTGGACCTCGGTGACTAAAGCATCTTGAGTGGCCTCTGCGCTACCCAAACAACAACCCAAGCCCAACACATGCACCAGCTCAGGGTGGCTGTCAGTTATTTCCATGAGCGTTTTATCTGGGCCAAGGAAGAGTGGAGGGGCTTTTATGGAGACAAATTGCGATGTATGAGGCGAGCCTAGCGTTCATACGTTCTGCTAATGAAGCCTGATGCAAGAAGCATGTTGTTCCTTCTCCGTGTAATCCCACCATAAGCCTGACCCCAAGCACGGTTAATGAGGTGCTTACGCAAGGCACGACACCCTCTCTCAAGATGTGCTCTTTACAGCAACTCTGTGAAGAGTGCAAAATGCAGGCAGGAGGGCAGGCAGCAGCAAACCGATCTCTCACTAGGAAAATGAACCAAGAGTCTTTGGAGAGCTTGCAAGCCGGCTTTGCTTTCCCTGCAGGCTGCAGCTACAAACTGCATCTCATTCCTTCTGGCACTGTTATTACTGGAAAAGACAACAAAAATACCAGCCCTTCAGCAAAGTCAGACCTCTGTTTTAATTGCTGCACTCAAGGCAAGCCACAGCAATTTTCCATAGTCCCTTCTCTCCGTCCCCTTCTTACAAACATGCCCCCATTCCCTTGCAAATGAGGATGAGTTTGTAGGACAAATTGGCCAAGACTTTCACTAAAGTTTTGGAAGCGCCTCTAAAGCATGTGTGTCTTTCGTGAGTTTTCAGTGAGAATAGCAAATCAAGAAAAGAGGGTTTTTTTGAAAGATGCTTGAAATAATTCACTCTAATTCTCAGAAACGACTAAACATACAGAATCGTGCATCAGGTTTTTTTGAACTGTATCTCATATGCACATTTTATTTCTAGTCATATGTCCTCCCTTAGTTGATAGGAACACATGCCACCATATTTCATTGCATGCCAAAGATGGACTACAGTTCCAAGAAATAATCCAAATTAAAACATTTCAAGAGATGGTGATCCCATTCTGACCCCAAAAGTTGTGGCAACGGTTAATTACCCTTGCTGTCTAAACATTTCTTAATTGCAACTTGATTTTGCTTAGCTTCGACTTGCAGGCACTGAATCTTATTATACCTTCTGTTAGATTAAAGAGCCCTCTGAGCATTTGAAATCTTGACCCATGCAGGCACTGATCAAATCTTCTTCAGTTTCTCTTTGATAAACTAAATCAATTGAGAGCTTCTGAAGTCTCATTAGGGCAGGCTATTCAGGGCTCTGGTTCCTTCTTAGAATCATTTCTAGTTTTCCACAGTTCTTTTTGTGCAGCTGTAAATAAAATTTACAGTATTCTGCGTGTTGCTGGAAACATGCTGTCTGGAAGAGGATCGTTTCTAGCACCAGCAGCTTCACTAGCGAACTATGTTGTCAGACTGTTCGTTAACCCTTTTTAGTGCAATCCTCTTACTCCCCATACTAAGCTGTCTGTTGCCAACAAATTATTTTGATTTCTGGAAGCTGGCACTTTCATTATCAGCTTAAGAGTTCAGAGAACACCCTGAAATTTTGTATAAGACATTAAATCAATGATTCACTGGCTCACACATAACTAGCCTGAATGGCAAACTCTTCAGGCATCTCAGCTTATCTGTTTAGGGTGTAACTGCGGATAATCAAATTTAACAGTGTTGACTCCACTTTTAATGTTCACAAACTCTCTTTCCTTATGAAACGGTTCTTCTTGTGACTCTTTTATTTGCTGGAGAAATAATCATGAACTTGCTGAAGTAAGCTCTGAGGTCTTTCTCTGCCAAGAGGAACAGGGCAGCCCAGTGTGCAGAGGCCAGCGAGGCGGCACCTTTCCCCATCTGATGAGTAACCCTGAGGGTGAGATATTATTGCTTGCCTGCTGCTACAACACCTTGTATTAGATGCTTCTGTTCCTACCCAGATGAGTAAAATAAATATGTCTCCCTCCACAGAAAAACTGTTAAACTCTATAGACGTCACAGATAAGATGAAGCTGAGAAAACTAGATTCCCAGCTTGGAAGTGGCTCTGTATAATCAGACCCCTTTGCAACGTCCCAGTAAGGCTGCTGGGATGGGACCTGCTCACCCAGAGCACCTTTGGGGATTAAAAGTTTAGATCTTTTCATAGATGTTGTTTCATAAGCACAGTTTTGTTAGTCTGAGAGACAGATCTCTGCACACAGAGTATGATGGTGTCTTCTGACAGAAAACTAACCTGTGCCTCAAACAGGTAGGAGCAATGCTGCCTGGCTGTGTCATCTTGTACATGCACACAAGTTTCTCTCAAAACTTTTGCTTTAATATCCACGGGTGCCTTCTGTGTCTGAAATGACAAGCCTATCATCTCTGTTTATATTTTTATTCTCTTAGCCTAGGCAACTGTGTAACACAATAAGACATCCTTTGCACAAAATAAATTATATTTTGAGTGGTGTTTGTGATGGATTTAATTACACACATATCCCGTCTCTCTACACTAGAGTAAGGGTTGTCAACCATTTGACATCTTCCAAGGATGACTACAGCATGGCTAATATCTCTTCCCCTTACACTAGGGATATGGTGCAAGCTGGTAAAATTAATTTGTTTTTTGTATGCATCAAGGCTTTATTATATGATAAATATCCAGCTATAATATGCCAAACACAATACAAACAGCGTTATGCAGACCAAAGTCAAAACAGCATTTGTCTAATGATATCAATTGAGCTATAAAAAGGCATGTTCCTTAACAATAAGCCTTCTGACACCAGGTCTGACAGAGAGCAAAGGATGCATCTTTCATTTCGAAGGCTATGAAGAAGCCACATGTGCTTCTTTAAAAAAAAAATATGGAGTAAATTTCTCTACATTCTAGAGCGATTTTAAATAATTTCTTGGTAAACCCTTTACACAGGTGTACCCTAATCTTATAAAAACTATTGCATACAGGTTTTTTCACCAGTTAGCATAGAAGAAAATCTCCTTAAAGATGTAAGGAAGATGCTTTGGTGCGGTGGGGTAAGACTTGGGACTATTGGGCAGATGCGTCACAATGCAGCTCTTCAAATGAATGGATCTCACCCAGCCAAATCTCTTTGCCTCCTTGGTGAAGAGAGGCTGTCAGATCTACCAGCCTTACAGAGCAATTCATTAGCTAGAGCTGAAAAACCATTGTCAACTCCCAAACAGCACATAAACCTAGAAGCCACTAGAGAAGAGAGAGTTTTCCAAGCTACCTGATCATCTGCAGGCAGAGAGAAATGTCAGAGGAATTCAGCTCAAGTAACAGCCTACAAGGGCACCCGCCTCCATTGCCCATTCTGCTGCAGGCCAACGTTAGCACAGCCAACTGATACGAGAGCCTCTCCCATGGATCCTTAGAGGCTGACATGGCCTGGGAGGCTACAGAAACAACCAAACAGATCAAGCCATTGATTTTTTGAGCTTTCATTGCATAAAAATAACTCATCCTTCAATTTAAAAAGCCAGTGACAGTAGCTAATGCAGCACTATCGGCTTCTTAATCTCTTTTTAGTTCTTCAGACGTTAGCATGTGGATTGATTGGGCACAAACAAAAGCCCATCCAAGCTACAGAAGAGACTGAAAATCAGGGCAAATTTCTATGCATAAGCACACGCCAGTTTTTTGTGTGAGACTTCAGGACAGTGAGCTTTCTCCGCTTGTTCTGCCCATCTGAAGGAACTACGAGGCACTCACCCTCTCTGGAGAGCAGTGACATGTCTTGTTAGGATCCTCTTGAGTAGTTGAAATGAGAACAAGGGTAGATGTCCTCATACACTGCTCGGAGATGTTAACGGATGCAAGGGAAGGACATGCTGGTTCCCCTGAAGAGACTGGTAGATGACATCTGCTAAACATCTTCGAGAGCTACTGGCCATGCACATTTTCTCCAAAAAACACCTCTGAGGCTGTACTACCTCCTGTTCAGGCTTTACAGTACTGGTACAGCATGGGCCTTACTGAAGTACTAAAAATAGGGAAATCTACCTCCTTTATTTGCTAGTATTAAATATTCAATTCTCTAGTGAAGATGTGTGCACAAAACATTTAAATCCTAGAGTTGTCTACATCTCAGAGAGAAAATTATGGAGCTAAAAACATGCATTACTTAAACCAGTATAAATCAAGCATGGGACAGGATAGAGGCAAAACCAAAATCCCCTATATCTTGCCACTAACAAATCATGTCACAGCTAAGCCTAGGGAGTCATCCACTATTGCAGATACAGAACATTTATTAGCAGAAGGCATAACAGATGGGAACAAATAGCACTGAACTGCAGGTAGTGCCCAAAGATGGATATCGGTAGTGGGATGACTGATGCCTTTTTTAAGATCTCTTTTTCTTTCCCAGTAATGAATATTAATAAATGTCAAAAATTAAACTTATTTTGCTCATACAGCAACATCCAACGTATGGTAAATCTGTCTGAGAAGCCATTACGCCAAGGTTTTAATTTGTCTTCAAGTCACCAGATAGAAATTTCTTCAATGCCAAGGGCTGTTTCACAGCACCTGTGGCTGGTAAATTCAGATGGAACTGGGGGAGTGACCCGTGAACTGGGGCATGATCAGCCTGTGTAAATCATGTCTTCAAAGTGCTCTGTACTTCACTTCCCATGTGTAAAGCAGGGATATTGACCCTTACTCAGATATAGTGTTCAATAGAAGTTGTTTCATCTTTTTCCTTGCTAAAATCTGGGGGTTTGGAATTTTTGGGAGCTTTCTGACTTTTGCTTTCCCATGAGAAGCACAGACTGAATCTGTCTATTGCTCCTTGAACTTCAGGTTATAAAGTGTGCAGTTCACACCATAATTCTCACTATCGGGACAGAGAGGAGAAGACAGATCCCTCACAGGAGGGTCTAGTTTTCACAGATGCTGAGTACCAGATGGAGAGCAGTTTGACACCTTTCAGCAAACTGCAGGTCTGGGCCCTGTTTTGAAAGGATAGCCAAAAGATAAATCTGCCTTTAGACATTTCTATTGACAAAACTCAGCCTCTGGGAAATGAGAACAAACCTTCTGAAAATAGGAGTCCTTTCCTTCCCCACCTCGTTAAAAGAGGGCTCATTCATTGCCGTCAGCATTCTGAGAGATGGCAGGATAAGTGCGTGCACTGTGCAGTCCCTCCAAGCCCCTGTGCCCCGGCTGTTAGTCTGGAAGCCACAGAACTTAAGTGATCGGTTGTAATTTCTTCCTGGCCTAACTGCGGGCCTTCAACACGCTCATAGTAATGCTTAAAGCAGCCATGGTAGATTACTGTGTCTGGAAGTGAACGTTTACTGTAGATAATCCAAAATGACAGCTCTGATAAATACCACTGGTTAGATTCTGATCAACCACACATCATCTTTCTGATTCATAGCGCAGGAATTGCCGCCTTCAAATTCCACACTCTGGCAGCATCCTCCGGGGAGAGCCTGAAGTTGTAGGCTGTTATTACTCACTTTCAAGGGTACACCTCCAGTAAGTTTCTGGATAACTTCTTTTATCACCTAACAGTTTCTGCCAGTTTTTCTGCCTCTGTTAACTTACTATAAAAATATATTATTTTTAAAAATCTAAAAGCTAAGAGCTGCACACTGGATCCTTTATTTATCATTTGAACAAGAAGAGCTAATTTTCAGAGATGCTGAACACTAACACTTCCCTCTAAAGTTACCAGCAGCAAGAGAACCTGCCTTTCTGTTACCCTCTCAAACCCACACCAAACTGCTTCAATATTTGGCATTTAACTCTCGGCGTACACAGAAAGAGGTGGGGCCAATTGCCCAAACCCAGACTCTGATTTATCCAAACAGTCTTCGTACTTACAACTGAGTCCAAAACTGTAAGCTCCCACCTGCTCTGGACACGCAAATCCTCACTTGATTTTGCAAACCTTGAGTCACACCCAGCTGAGCCTCACTCACAGGGCAAGGGGCAATGGTTTTAAACTAAAAGAGGGTAGATTCAGACTAGATACAAAGAAGAAATATTTTATGATGCTGAAACACTGGCACAGGGTACAGATGTACAGATCTACTACTCAGAGAGGTGGTAGATGCCCGTCCCTGGAAACATTCAAGGCCAGGTTGAATGGGGCTCTGAGCGACCTGATCTGGTTGAAGATGCCCCTGCTCATAGCAGGGAGGGTGCACTAGATGACCTTTAAAGATCCTTTTCACCCTCAAACCATGCTGTGATTCTATGCCAGCTGCAGGGGCACAACCACTTACATGAGTCAAAACTAAGCCGAAGGCAAGGCAGCAATGCGGGAATTTGGCCCAGAAGATCAAATCCCCTTCACAAAAAAACCTCAATAAATACTTGATAGAACTAAAGCTTAATTTTTGAAATATTTCCTTTTTAAAAAATCAATAACAGTAATAAAGCATGAGTAAAACAAAAGACTTTCCAATTAACACAACACATGACCAGAGGATTAATTATGATTTTGGAACGCAGACACTTAAACAGTGCTTCCTGAGTTATTTTCAAGATGCAATGAGTGTGTTTGGTCTCCAATGAAGTGCAGTACACCATACCTGTCTTCTTACCTAACAGCGTGGTCGATGGAACAGTGTCTGATGATACTTTGAGATGGAATTCCGTTCACCCACACGACACGGATCAATGGAAATCAACAGAAGATCAATAGGAAAAAAAGTCACAAAAAATGAAAACAAAGTTAGCGGTATCTCACACTCAGAAGATTCAGTCTATAGGTCATATTGGGAAACGTACAAAAGCAAAGAAAATTTAGAAATTAAAGAAAAGTCTGGCACTAGTACCTGAGTAGTAGGAATTCAACAAAGATTTGCTCTGAAGGGTTTTGCTTTGGACAGAAAATGAACAAGGAGAGGGTGATGCTAGGTAGGAAAGACATAAGGAAAAGACTTTAGACATATATTAAGAGAGAGAGAGAACAGGGAGAATGTTCCTCAAAGAACACAGTAGTATGGGATATATAAGGCTTATCAAAATGAATTATATTTTTCATCTCAACATGCATATTACATTTATTACATTGTCATCATGATGGATTTTCTTTAATATAAGTACTCCAGACCCCAAATATAGTATTATAGTTATAGTAAATCAGTGTGTTCCTACACAGGATACACATACAGGACTCTATACTACTCTTTAACCAACGGAACAAAAACTTATGCTTTTGTCTCTAGGAGAAAGATCTTTAAAAATGATCCCCAAAATACAAGCTAGAGAGAGTCACATGCAGTATTAACAGTAAAATAAGCCTGCTCAAACACCATGTACACTAGTACCACAAACATACACAGGTAGGTAGGGCAGCAAGTCTGTTTTGTTAAAGCAGTACAAGATAACAAGGGACTTGTTCTTCAACCCAGAACTGTTCACAGCAAATCCTATAATCCTTTTCCCTGTAAGTTGGGTTCTTTCATTTCCCTTGCTTTTTCCCGTTAAAGCATGAGCTTGCTCTGGATAAGAATCCACAGATTATTTCCATATTAATAAAATATTTAGGGAAAGGAGGCAGGGCTCAGTGTCTTCACAGGAGATTCTTTTCTTGATAGTAAAGTTACGAGGCTGGTTTGTATCTACAATAGCATACATGTACATTCTCATTGTAATCCATCATCTCTGAAGGCATATTCTTTTTGTTATCATTCGGCAGTCACTCTTAGAGTTACAGGCTTTTATTTATCTCCTCCTCAAAATGTTGGGAAACAAGCTAACACAAATCTCAGTACATCAGAAAGATGACAATAGATAACACAGGAAAAAACTATTCCATAATCCAATAGAAGTAGATAAAATTCAGTATACATCAAAGTAATTTCAGAAGCAATTTTTGTACCTCTAGCAAACGCCACTTTAAAATTTTAAGTTATTCTGTGGGGTGAATGAAAGAAGTCACTAGTCTAGGGAGTTTCCTAAAGTCTGCAGAATTACCTCCTAAGCAGTATAGAATCACTCAGCAAATGAACTTGCTCTCATTCTGCATTCTCCTGACGTATTTTCAGACTTATACCACTTGGAAACACATTAAAATCATCAAATATCTCATAGCTAAGCCTGCTGGAGTTCTGTCCCCACTGCCTTCAAGCCATAACGTATCTCTCATTTGGGGCCTCTTAGATTTTCTCCCGTGGTCGTTTGCCTAAACCAGACCCTCCCTTTACCGTACCTGGAACATGCCCCTTTTGGAGATGTGGAAAATAAGGTCTAAGAAGAGCAACTTGTTTTCCCAGGGTGACACAGAAAGTGAACAGTCAGGGCTTGGAGCGGGACTCGATTTTTCTGAAATGTGGGAGTATAACAGAACTTATCGGGCCATCCTGCCTTCCCAGGAACTGTTAATGATAAACTCCCAAGGTCGCTGAAGAAACACACCTCATTTCAGTGAGCTTGATTGAAAATGTTACCAGCTGAAGTTATGAATGGAACCATGTTTGTGACACAGGGAGCTAAATTCAGGATTATGTCTTTAGAAGAAAAAAGGGAAAAAAATCCACCAAAAACCAAGTTTTCCAAAACTCTGGAGAGCTTGTTCTCAAAATCAGTCAGCCTGTGTAACGAGAGATGCGTACACAGTGCTGCTACCTAAGCAGAGGTTCTGACAAGCGCTAGCATGTGCAATCACAGGAAACACTTCCAGAGAGGATTTCTCATCAGGGTAGAGATTAAGACTTCATTAAAAATTCTCTTTATGCTCCCTGGAGTGGCACATGAGGCCATCCAGATCCCTCTAAGCATGCAGAATGGCAAAGGCTCTTTCCTGTTCTGGAAATGAGTCTCCCTTGCTTTTCATAAGATACTCTAAATTAGGAAACCCCATAAAAATCCCAAACCAGCATGAAAACCAGTAAAAGGGATTTTGGTTTGTCTTTTTTTTTTAATGCCTTAGATAAAGTTCAGTTTTATTACTATTAATTTTAGAATTTTTCACTAAAGAAAGCATCTCATGGACATGATCCTACAGGTCTCTGGCCTGTATTTAGCAGGTATCCTAACTGGAAGTGACAATTATCTATGGGCTAGGACTAAGAACTATATCTTGACGGAATCGTCTTTTGTGACTTACAGCAAATCTGAAGACCTTCACATTTCATTCACCACAAAAACGTGCAGGAACTGGAGAGGTGTGAATTTAGATGGTTCTTGGTTAAAAATGATCCTGAACAGCCTAAGTGCCACTTACTACAGCTTGTTCTTATCTCCCTGTTCTCGCTAGTAAAAGCACTTTACTTGGTAACTGCTCAGTCGTGCTCACTAATGAAAAACTCAGTTCCCCACAGCTACCAAAACGCTGTCTTCAAACTGTTCTTCTGCCTGTAACAGGAAAGCAAGCTACCTATTCTGTACCAGCCTCAGTCCTGAAGGTTGTCTGGAAAGCAGTCTCCTCCCCAACAGAGATGTCACAAAAATGAAGCACACCCTAAGAAATCTGTCTCTAGCCAAACTGGGTGCATTTTAATAGATTAAGTTCTCAGAATCAAACAGTTCCTGCCAGAACGCCTCCAAGGATGCCAGGATGACTATGCTGGTGACATGGCATTCTGCTGGACAAGCCTCTTGCATGGCCTTTTGGCACTGCAAAGCCAGAGGAGCAGTTTCGTTGTGCAGGACACACCAGCAGTGCGTCATTGCTAAGATGATCTACTGCTGCTTCTCCCATCACACGGATGGGCCGCCAAATTGCACATGATTTACGTGCAATAACAAGCCCCTGCACACCCTTCTTGCCAGTGCATAGCTGCTGGTGGATGACTTTAGGCCTACCTTGCCTTCATCTGTCACCTCATTTCACAATAACCCTGCGCCCAGTCCCTGACTACGCGTGACTGTGCTGTGCCACGTGGGGGGAAACACTGCTGCTTTCCAAACGCTCCTGCAAATCGAGGAGCAGGCTCAAACACTGCAACTAACACCACCTATCTTTCATGGATTTAGGATATATTTTCATCTTTTAAAAAGCAGTTTATACGAGAAAATGAACAGGTATGATGAGACTGCTTCACCTCCACATAATCCCTGGGTAAAACCAGACAAGCTGGAATAGCCATGGACCAATCCATATGTCTGCAAACACCTATTCTGATTCCATATGGTGCCAGAGACAGTCTGAGTCCATAAAATCTCTTGAATTTGAAGTCCTGTGTGTGCCAATAAGAATTCTGCCTGAATAACACCAAACAGTGTAGAATGAAAGAGGGCTGAGGGGCTTTGCTTTGGGCCAGGAAAGATGAATGCCTGTTTCACTTTTCAACAAGACCTGAGTTCTCCCTGTTCCAGCACAGAGGCTACAGATCTTTCAGAATGTAATGACATTCGATAATGAACACCTCTGCCAAACGATGGAATTCAGAACTCCAGTCATCCAACGGGACCACGTGCCATGGAGCACCGCACTGGCCTTGACAAAGGACTCCGCTGCACGTGTACAGCGTGGCTTTGTGGGCCATACCACCTGCATGAGTTTATGTCAAAAATAAAAGAATTTTCCCTTGAAGTACTGAGAGAGAGTAGCTAAAGAAGTCTGCATCTTTACCACTAGCAGGGAGAGGAGGATGGTAACTCTCAGTGGTGAAAGGATCAGCATTACTTCCCTGCGTACTCTGACCCGCGTCGCCTGCAGAAGCACTGGGGTCCACGTCCCTCAGAGAAGGAGGGGATGATTAGCAGAAAGGCAGCTGCTCATTTTGGTGTCCTCCAGGATGCAGAGTGCAGAGCACCCGCTCTGGGAGGGGGACACTGCTTCCTCCTTCAGTGCTGGACATGACAGGTGGGAGGTCCCCGTGGGGTGACAGTGCCGTGGGCAGCAGCAAGACGGGCAGCAAACAGGGAGGCGACAGCAGGAGGGCAGACAGGGCTCCCCCAAGGACGGCAAGAGTCCTGGGGCAGGAGCAGACCAGTGGCCACGCCAGGGAGACTACGGGAAGAAAAAAGCTTCTACAGGGACTCACGGAATTTGCTGTGTCTGAAAAGTCACTAAAATGATTGGAACTGGAGGGAAAAACTTGCAGGGAGAACACACGCCCTGCAAAGACACTGTCACCTGCAGATAAAATTGTTTGCAAATCATCAGATGACTGTGAGGTTTCCTACTTAACAAGTTGTCTTGTTCTCTTTTATTGCTTTTGTGAGTTAGCAAGGTGATCTTGGGACTGAAAACACTTAGCTTTTCTTGGTGGGCTTTCTTCAAAAAGAAGTATTTCCATGTCACTGCTGCAGCCAACTTGGGCTCCGACCACTGAGGGTCAAGATGGGAGCAGATGAGTACCTGTCATGACATTTCTGCAAATGCTATTTTCTGCTGGGAGGCAAAAGGACAATTTTAAGAAGGAATTTCACTGCTGCTTAAGACAGAGAGCTGATTTCAAAAGTGAGGATGGATAACCCCCTGTAAAACTCTACTAGTTAGCAGGAAGGTTAAGAAGTAATCTTACTACGTTACTCAAAACTCAGAGTAGGCTCACAGAAAAACCCTCAAGTATTAAACTCTATTAAGGCAATTTTAAAAAAAAGAAAATCTTTTACTCATATAATTCTTCTATTAGCATGTGCACGCTACTGCACAGAAGAGAACTTACCTCCAACAACTCAGCATCCTGGACTTGGCATTAAAAAATTTGGAGAAATCATGAAGATTTACTGGTAATTGTTTCTCATGGATATAAAAACGAAAAAAAAAGATCATCAGCCCATGACTTGACTCAGGCTGTGGTATAGAGGGAGGCAGTGACAAAACCTACAGTGATGTCAGACAAATAAGGGACTAACTGCTTAAAAAAATAGGATAGGAAAAAAAAAACCTGGAATGACACTTTTTTACAAAATTAGATACAATGTATTTTCTATACTTGCATTTAAAGTAAATGACTCAGCTGTTTTAATTAGTCTCTCAAAATACCGAGAGAAAGAAAAGAAATGAGGTCACATTACAGGCTTATTTGTTCTCTTACTTTCTGGCTGGAAAAAAAATCCCGAAACTTCAAAAAAACCAAATTCTGAAGAAAGTGTTAAAAATTTCATTTTCCCCATACATTTTAAACAAGCTACCTTTGCTGCTTCTAGGATGTCTATTACAACACTGTCCTCTGCTATCCAGTCTTTCAGAGATATGAACCACTGACAACTCTTGCTGTCTCTTCAGCAGATACAGCTACTCAGCACCTGAGAAAATTAGATCTTGACTCAAGTCAATTTAGTATCAGAGAGAAGTGTTCACTGCTCGCCTTGATGGCCCCAAACACCTATTTATCCATCTCACAGGTATGTTACACGGAGTGGCAGTAGCAACACATGCAGATGGAATTTGACATGACCTACAGATAGAGGGAAAAGAAGAATTCACTCAGCCTGTCCCACTCAATCTGAGGTTACAAAGGTTTCAGTGCTAAAGCAGTTTTGTGCCATAAGCACTTCCCTTATTAGTAATTAGGGGAAGAAACACGTCACTAAAGATGTTTAAGACAGACAAAGTTTTAGTACGTACTTGTGTTTCTGAGCCATTCCCTACTCAAACTAGCAGGCTAAGTGTCAAAAGAAGAAGTGACATTCCCACAGTGTCTGAGTTAAAATTTATTTAATACGATAAAGTGTACAAATGCACCATGCAATCCACCATGCACTCCGTCTGGACCTAGTGAGAGTAAAATATGACTTTGTGCTGCTTTACCCCCCAACGCTTTTCCAGCTACAGAGGTCTGAATGGTTTACAAGTATTAACCCATTCATTTTACTGAACCCATGTGAAGAATAAATGAGGACACAGACAAAAGACAAAATACTGCCTTTCCATTCCAGTTCTCTAACCAGGAGACCATGCTTTCTTTCATAACAACTTCATACAGAAAACGTTATTTCACTGAAGTCAGCTAAGTGACCTGGTTCAACTCTTCTACCCACAAAGGAGAAAACATTTCTGAAGAACAAATAAACATGCCTTTTTGACTGTCTGATGTAATTGTTTGAAAATTATTCTCAGTAGACCTATAGTCAGCAGGGATGCTCTACACCTATTTGACAGTTAAAATAGGGGCAGTGTCAGAGACGTTTCAGACCACCGATTTCTATCGAGCTTTTGCAATGATCTCTATCACTGTCATTCCTAGCTCCTCAGTATTGTGCCCACAGGAATAGGTCCTTTTAAGAACCTAGAGCTCTCTGAGGGGGACATATCCATTGCAAGCAAGTTAAACTTACTGAATCCATTAACATCTTGGCAGCTGGAAGAAAAAGCTTCTTCATTGTGAACAGCACTGAGTTTGGTAGAGGTCTTGTCAGAAGTAGCCACGGGACCCATCTCCCTCTGCGTGCTGGTCTGAGTCTCCTTCTGCTTCTTGGCTAGCTTCCTTTAGGGTAGTTTGAAGAGGGGAGAAATCAAGGTCAGTTTTCCCTCATTAAAAACAAAACAATGAGAAAATATTTTGAAAACCACGATTATCCCACTTGGTCAGACATGCAGGGCGTGTGGCAAAACGCAGGAGAGGAAACCCCACAACTTTGTAATGTGTTGTGGAGCACAATAATTATGGTGATACCAGTCTTTGAGCTTAGCCTTCCCTCCCGGTAACTTATCTTGCACAACCCTGCATCACCCCAGCAGCAGGAGTGCTACAGCACCCTTGGAGAGGGTGGTGTAGGTAAAGTCCCCGGAGCGGGTGTCAGCCGCCCCGGGAAGAACAGAGGGCACGGGATGAGGGCAGCAATCAGAACCACTCACTAGGAGGTAAGAGGGATGTCTGCATCCATCCCACCCGGCACCTACAGCGGGGATGACCTTTGGGTGCTCCGGCAGAGAGTGCAACCTGACTGTGCAACCTGAGCGCTGGGGCAGGAGCTGTGCCCCGTCCCCAGGCAGAGCTCTGAGGACTGCAACCGCTACTAGACTATGACAAACCCCCAAACTGCACCGAGCACTGGCAGTCAGGGAAGGGTTGGGCAAATTAAAGGTTGAAGGTATTTTAGAAATGCCCAAATATGCCACTGTTCTGGCAAAATGGGTCTTTTCTTATTTTGAGGAGATGTCAAAAACATTGGCAAAAGCAGAAACACTGCCTGCTCTGAAAACACTAACAAAGACAAGAACGTAAGAGGCTCCTCTTTCGCAAACACAGTTAATAATAAGAAACTGAAGAGAGGCAGGAAAAGTGAGCTGCTAAGCTTCCATTGACATTTGACTGCCCTGTGCTTCATTCATATCAGAGAGCAAAACTGTTTAAAAATGAATGTGTGACATTCTACAACCCGCACCTTGAAAAAATATCACACAAATCCTTAGCACCGGCACAGAATTTTGCTTACAAGACTTCCGTAGGTAAGAAAATAAAACAAAATAAAAGGGAGAAAAACAGATTGCTGTAAGAAGGAGCCTGAGTTTTCTTTTTCCTCCAACTCGAAGAAAAAAAAAAATCCTAACTAAGTCATTCTGCAAGGAGTATTTTCATCACCAAAATGACATGCGCATGGTGAGAACTACCCATCTTTTAAACTTCATTAGAGTCTTAAAAGGATATTCCTTGTGACATATTTCAACATGTATTATTTATTCACAGCACATGTCAGAGTGGCATTTACAAGCAAGTTCAAGCACACAGCTGAGCCCCAGCCCTTCACGAGGTGGGGAGCCAGGCCAGTTACGCTCATTTGCAAGGAAGGGTCAAAGAGAACTTAAACCTTTGCTTATGGCTGTGGGAAATGACTATTTTTAAAGCAAGCTGATTATCCAGACCAGGAGAGGACAGATTTATGAGATGTTCAATGTTTGCCGCAAACTTTTGAACAAATACATCTGTTTCATCTGCTCAACCAGTTGAGGTTCAGCCTTTTACAGTTGGTTCCAATTCAAACCCATAGCTATTCAAATTGGGCACGTAATTACAGAGTGCATATTTAGATCTCACAAAATCTCCACGGTGTATCCACTTCAGCAGATGAAGATGCAAACAGGGGAACCATCCTGAAGCAATGAAGCAAAAAGCTGGCGTTTAATGATGTTAAAAGCTTTGCTTCCAGTGTTCAGCGATGTTAGCACAGTCAGATTTATTAACTGTGAGCTACAGCCATGGGAGCCCTCTTTTTTTGTGCTGTGGTACCTGAGGTAACAACAACAGTCTTGAAGTGTAATAACCCTGCTATGCGGTTATTTTAATCCTTTAGATTTGCTAACTGTACGTGCCTACGTGTATTCTGTGGCAAGAGGAATTAAAATTTCTCTGTGGGAAACAGTAATCCAAAATGCAGAAGTCTTTAACAACAAGCACTCTGGACTGCTGGGGTGAGCAATTACGGACTGCTACTGATGTTTAAAAATGGTGAGGAAAAAAGGGTGACTTCCTTATTAAATCCAGATTACATTATTTGTGGCAGTAATTATGTGGAAGTCCCATTGCCTGGTATCTTTTCAGAAATGCCAACAAGCTACAAAGAGCTGGAATTGGCAAACTCATTTTCTCTTTCAGTGAATGAGTGATAACATTTCTGCTTGTGCCAGGCAGGAAGAAATAACCCCAAACCCAAGCCCAATAGTCCCCAAAGGCCTGCTTACAAAAGCCCTATGCAAAGCAGTTCTACCTGGTCCTGTAGAAGACAGAGAGGCCCCTAAAACATTGGCTTGAATGCCTAAAAAGAAAAGGTGACATGAGTTTAAAGTTCTCAATCTAACTCGCACACACAAACCAGGCTGCTGGCGGGTGGACCAGCTCACGCTTACGCAAGTTCAGAGAGAAGCCACACAGAAAATTGTTCTGCATCGGAAAACGCTACCATTTTCTTTCAACAGCATGTTAGCAGTTTCCACCTTTCTCCCTCTCTATTCCAAGAATGTAAAAATTCTTCATCTAAATTTAGAGGGAAAAGGAAGACAGATCTCTTTTGAGGATTTCAGAGCTAAGCTTGCCAGACACATCAAGGGGCTCTCGGTTTCTAAATGTGCCTTTTCTGCCTTCGGTACGTGTCTGGATGGAGTGGCAGCGCAGGACTAAGCCTATTTGGTCCTTACCATCATTATAATTCACAGGAAGGATTATAAAATCAAATGACTAGCACTTTCTAGAATGTTAGGGATGTGACTTAAACCCACAGCTAGGTAGAGGTTTATTTCCCAGCATGTCAGAATGCCTTTGGAATTGGAAAAGCATTTGTCTGGAAATCCTGTTCCCAAAAATAGGGCACTTGCAGAGATCTGTGTGAATCACTGACAAGCTGTACCAGTGACATGGCTCCTGCTCTCCGGACCGACCAGCCTCCCCCAAACACAACCGCAACACCCAGATGAAACTGCTAGCAGTGCACTGGTGTCCATCGCAGGCCGGCGTGTACCCGGCACCCTCTGTCACCAGGCACTGGGAAGGCATTTTCCATCTCGGGCATTATGCAGTTGATAAGGGGAAGAAATAAAGGACCGGGCAGATATTTGGAAGAAGAGTCTGATATAACCAACACAGGATGAAGAGGCTGAAATGTCAAAATGTGAATAGGGTGATATTAATGGCTATTTTACATTTAAGTGGAAGAAAAATGTGCCAGGAAGAAAACAGGAGTGCTGGGATGGGGGTTACTGGGTTGCCCTTTCCAGTTCAAGAGGGTTCGTAAATGAAGAGATGATGTCTACAGCACTATACACACACAGGAGGGATGAGACGGAAAGATGCTCAAACCAGAAAAAAAAAAAAATGAAACCAGCTGTATAATCAGGCAGTTGAAGCTAATTGAACTAAAGCGACGTAAGAACTATTGGCAGTGAACCTACACTAAGGGCGTATTTGGGGGGGAAAAAAAAAAAAGGAGATTCGATTCAGCTATTTTTGAAACTTCTACTCCTATCAGAGAATAAATACAAATACTGAAACACTATTAAAATTGTGGGAGTTCCAGTTTAACAGTCAAGGAATGCCAACTTAGTATCAAGTACAAAGCATTTACTGCCATGGGCATTAATCAGAAAGCTCAGGCAACATTTTCAGTTAGAAGTATCTGCAGGATCAGAATCCTGTTTTGCAGAGGTCTGGATAAACTTCAGGGATTATATTTTAAACACAGCTTCAATTTATCTCTAACTTTTTATACCGATTTTACATGCATGAACATTAAATCTGTAACTGCCACTCCTAAAGAGCTCTTGTACGTGTACATTGACAGATTTAATTTTAGATGTTTCACAAGGATGGATTATATACACTATAATGTAGATTTGCATGCAGAGGTAATTTAGACATTAGGTATAGATCACGTACGTTAAACATGAAATTTCCTCCTACAGACAAGAATTGCATGTTGCCCTCATTTTCAATGAGCAATTTAAGGGAGCTACAAAATACAGTTCTTCTGAGGTATTTGTGCGCAGCAGCCTGCTAGGAGTACACGTATTATTTATGATGATATCCATACAAATCTAAGACAGGCAGTGATGAGCCATGCAAATACCCAACTGGGAGCACTGGTTACACAGCAGTTCTATTGCAGGGGATCTCTGTCCCCTAAAACCTGCAGTAGATCACAAACTCTACTTAAGAGAACAAGTTCATGCTGATGTAAACATAAGGGAGGGATTATACATGGTGCTATGGTCTGCAAGACACAGGTAGGTAATCCTTTTGCTCCAACTGAGGATCAGTAAGGGCTCTGCCCCAATACTGCACTTCAAGTAAGACGTGTGCCAAAGGGGCATGTACAAAGGCAGAACAAGAAAGGTAAATCTACAAAACATGACCTACAAGCAAAGGCCAAAGGAAATAGGGATCTTTAATCTAGAGAAAAGAAAATCAAATAGGGCTGGTAGGTCTTCAAATGTATGAAAAGGCACCACAGGGAAGCTGTTCTCCCTGTCTACAGGGTCTGGGAATAACATAACGTGGCTAAGGTATAGGAAGGGCAGTTCATTTTAAATTAGGGAAAGCTACATGCAGTAAAGACTGCATATCTCTCCAGTCAACTGGGCAGGTGGGCTGTGAAATCCTGGTCACTAGAGAACTTTCAACAGAGAGCAACAGGAATGAGAGTTGCAGCCTTCGGGCAGCCTGACAGGCGTGACAGCTCCTCCTCGTGCTCCGATGGTCCAGCTCAAAGCTGCAGCTCATCACATACGCCCTTGTGCGGACTGTAACCTCAGCAGAGCTGAGAAACATGCTCTGGTCTAAGCACACAGGCAGCTTACTGCTCCTTACAGTCGCTGTAAGGGCAAATCCTCCTCTTAACGGACAAGTGCAGAGAGAGCTTTACTTATATTTTTTAGCACCTTTCCATGGTGAAGCCAAACTCAGTGCAGGCTGTTGCAGGAGCAGAAGGGAATTCATCAGAGTAAAGGCTCAGTGAAGAGCGAGGACCAACCACACCCTTTCACTTACAAAGAAAA